CCTCTGCCAATCCCTGCACTGGCTTCCATCCCCCGCCCCCCTCTGCCAATCTCTGCACTGGCTTCCAATCGCCCAAAGGATAGAATTCTAAATATTAACACGTACAAAGCCATCCACAACTCTGCCCCTGTCTATATCTCCAACTTTGTCTCAAAGTATCACCCTAACCGTCCCCTCCGCTCTTCCAAAGACCTCCTGCTTTCCAGCTCCCTCGTCAACTCCTCCCATGCTCGCCTCCAGGACTTCACTAGAGTCTCTCCCATCCTCTGGAACTCTTTACCCCAACCTGTCCAACTATCTCCCACTCTGACGGCCTTTAGGCGATCCCTTAAGACTCATCTCTTCAGGGAAGCCTATCCCACCTCAACCTAACCACTCAACCATCACGTTCTCAAACAATTCATCCCCACACAGCCACCTCCTCATGTATCACTTCCCCCTCCTCTTTTAGATTGTAAGCTCTCAGGGGCAGGGCCCTCCTTACCATCTTGTCTTGAATTGCATTGTGATTGTAATGTCTTCCTTATATTGTAAAGCGCTGCGCAAACTGTTGGCGCTATATAAATCCTGTATAATAATAATTATAATGCTTATGTGCACCATAGACAATGAACTGCAATTTGGAAATCTATGAAGGAACGCAGCATATACACAGAGGACACTGGAGTATTTACTTGTCATGTAAATTGTTTCTCTGTGAGCACTAAGTTGCATTCTCTTTCATTATCTTCAGCATGTCCGGCGGGATCTATTTTAAATGTTAGTCATTTTGTTATGTGCTGATATTTATGTGATTGCAGTTTATATTTCTTACTTTTTACACACAGTATTAAGAAAGTGTGTTTGCCCAGATGCAGACATCCCCAGTCAGACACCATTATAACCGGTAATATGTGTTATATGCTATACCAGTGCTGATAATAAAGACTGATATTTGTGAACTTTGATCTATTACTGTGTAAAGAAATCTCTCCTCTGCAGAATGAGATCATTCACTTTGTATCCGCTTTCATTTGATGTTAAAGGAGAACTATGGAGTCAGTGTTTTTCCCCATAGTTCTCCTTAGGGTAACGGGAGGACACAAACTAGCGTCCTCCCGTCACCCTAAGCTCAGTATACCGCGAGCTACAGCTCGCGGTATACTGAGACGCCGCAGCCGGAGCGGATCCCGACCTGGACGTCGGGATCTGCCCAGCTGCGTGAGTGACAGCTGGCTCTGCCTATCTAGAGGCAGAGCCAGCTGTACCCGCCCCCTCCCCCGTCCGTTCCGCCAGTCAGCGCTGGCAGATCGGAGCGGGGAGAGGGGAATCCAGATCGGAGCGGGGAGAGGGGAATCCAGCCCCTCCCCCTGTCACGGCAGAGAGCCGTGACAGGATCGAGAGGTGAGCGAACCCGGTATGTGTTCGCTCACCTCCCGATCTACTGAGCCGACCTGTGACAGTCCCATTGTCACTGGTCGGCTAGAACTATGAGGTGAGTGAAAAGCACTCACCTCATAGTTCTCCTTTAACTAACGTATATTGAATCAGTCTATATTATAAAAGAATAAAGCTGGCCATACACCTATAGATTATCTGCAGACTTTCTATGGTCAGATGGAAAAAGTGCAACAGAATCCTCCATCTACGCTAAACTGTGTGTATGGAGGAATCTCCCACTGGGCCAAGCTTCAGTATCTTGCTAGTTGGCCCCGCTGGATCTCAAAATATGATCAACACAAATGTATCCCCTAAGCAAAGAAATCCCACATAAGGAGCTGTCTAGTGAACAAGTAACACAGTAAGTAAGTAATGTATCAATAATAGTATTTTAATTAACATTGAAAAAAGTACAAAAGCTAAATCACCTATTACAAGACATTTAAAATCGTAAAAGACAATGGCTTCCCTTCAATAACTCAAGTAATGGAAAAAACAGTAGGGATAAAATCTTAAAATTGTCTTTTAAGATTTTAAATGTCTTGTAATAGGTGATTTAGCTTTTGTACTTTTTTCAATGTTAATTAAAATACTATTATTGATACATTACTTACTTACTGTGTTACTTGTTCACTAGACAGCTCCTTATGTGGGATTTCTTTGCTTAGGGGATACATTTGTGTTGATCATAATTTCTGAAACCCAGGAGACTAGTGTATTATATAACTGTCATTCATTGCGATACTCCTCTTTCCCCCGTATGCAGGGGTGTATGGATGCGATGACGCGGACGTCGGCCTGGAGTGGGCGGCGTGTGCAGATGGCGGGCGGCGTTGTTTTACGGTGAGTCTGTAAGACCGTGGGAGCGGCTGTCCACGGAGCGACGGGTCTGTCCGGGGGGATTGATGCTGTCAAGGGCCAGCTCAAAGCTGGCCAAACACGGCTTGAGTTCCAGCTGAATCAGTCAAAATTTGAGCCGTGGGTGGCCCCATCAGCACCAAAAAAGTTGCTTTCAAAATAAAAGGAGTCACGTGGAAGATTGGCAGCCGAACAACGACAGCATCCTATCATATGCAATCACTCTTCAGGTATACAGGAGCCAACGTTGCCAAAGCAAGGTCCATAAAGACATGGATGGGGGAGTTTGGGGGGAGGAACGTGACTGGCCTGCACAGAGTCCTGACCTCAACCCGATAGAACACCTTTGGGATGAATTAGAGCGGAGACTGCGAGCCCGGCCTTCTCCTCCAACATCAGTACCTGACCTCACAAATGGTCCAACATTCCCATAGACACACTCCTAAACCTTGTAGACGCCTTCCCAGAAGAGTTGAAGCTTTTATAGCTGCAAAGGGCGGAGCCAACCCAATACTGAACCCTACAGACTAAGACTGGCATGCCATTAAAGTCCATGTGCGTGTAAAGGTCGGCGTCCCAATACTTTTGGCAATATAGTGTATATGTTGCTTGAGAGACAGGACAGAGGACAACTGCTGTTTAATAATGAGCAATCGATAGTAAATAAATCTGCGCTAATTAGGAGACACGTAGGCTAGAAAGGATCAACAGTTAAAAGCCGCCAGACATAGGTTAATGAAACCTCACTATATGTTAAAATAATTGCGCAGCGCTATATAACCTCCCCGTGACAGAATAAGTCAGTGTCAGTGAATTATATAATTATGGCAATACATAAAATGATAATATTAATAGTGAAAAAAATGGCAAACCAAATATACAATAAACAAGTGAAAATAGTGATGTAAATATAAATGAATATATGTATAAACGATATATAAACGATATGATATAATACATATATATATATATATATGTGTGTGTGACCATCAAAAACATGAAAAGAGTCCAATCATTATAATTATCAAACAAAAGTGCAATCGGTGTTCAATGGGTGGATCCTCTAATGATGTTAAAAACGTTTTTTATGTGCAAAATATCCACAGCACAAAACCAAGGCGAACAAACTCTTCGTGTGCTTCAACCCACTCCCCAGTGACTATGCACTCACCGCAATAATTGGCCGCCACACTAGCAGCCCTCACAGCATTGTAGATCGGGGGATGCAAAAAACCTCCAAGTCCTTCCGATCTTAAAGTGACATTAAACCCTCAGATTTTTTAACATAAACCAATACTGTAATGTGTGTCTTACTGTAATCCATGGTTGTTTCCCTTCTCTTTGCTGCTCTTCCTTTTAAATCCTCATGTCTTCTCATGCTGGGCAGAACTTCTGTTTTGCAGCAGACTGCCTTGTCTCTGGAATGGATACACGGTATCTGTGTGCAAGTTCACAACCTGAGCCAGCACTACAGGACGAGGCACTCAGCTGCAAAGGGAAGTTCTCCCCCAGCATGAGAAGAGATACAGATTTAAAAGGAAGAGCAGCAAAGAGAAGGGAAACAACCATGGATTACAGTAAGGCGCACATTACAGTATTGTTTTATGTTAAAAAATCTGAGGGTTTAATGTCACTTTAACGTCTCGGCAGCAACAAGCTCCACAGTTCGTTTATATATATTATAACTTATTCTGTCACGGGGAGGTTATATAGCGCTGCGCAATTATTTTAACTAATAATGAGCAATGCCTGTCATTCTTGGAATGTACCTGAGGATAGAAGACAAAAGTATTTTTAAAAAATCGAAATACAAATGACCACATGCAATGCATCCCTATGACATACCATTATCTGATGTCTTCTTGGTAATCTTTGGGTACTTCTGGAATTTAATAAAATAATAGCTCTCGTACTCCATTAAAATGGTCTCCAGATCAATGTTGTCACAGACCTCCAAGCGTCTCATACTTATTTTGGCTTCTTGTTCTAGAGTGTTTGCTGTGTCCACATAACTGAAATAAAAAGTATAAAAGCCAGACTTCAGATTACAGGAAATCCAGATGTTTTTTAGCTATAGGTTTATGCTTAAATAAAGCCGGAAGCAACAAGTAGTTCATCATTTCCAGTGTCTGAGTTGTCATTCCCCAGCCTCTGTGGCCAAGGATGAAGCTGATCAAACCCGATCTGAGCTTGACCATGCTATCCTGCAAAATAGAAATTGCAACTGCCACCATTTCTCTGCAGGCCTCAGTCATGAAGGGGTTAACATGTGCTCAAAAATGCAAAATGGCTCTGGCAGCAAAAGGGTTAAAGCTTATCTCCAGGGAGAAAAAAGAAAATCTCCTTTCCCGTTGCCCTCCAGCTGTGGTGCAACTACAAATCCTATCATGCATCTGCCTCTGGGGGTCATGTCTGTGGCTATCAGAGTCTTGCAATGCCTCATGGGATTTGTAGTTGAACCACAACTGGAGGGCCGCAGATTACCTTCCCCTGCCCTAGTGTCAAAGCCCCACTTCTACAAATGTCAGGCTTGCCAGACTACCAGTCTAGGCTTCTACAATACACAAACGTGGTATTTTGCCTTGCTATAAAGTATAGTACTACACGTTCTCTAGTACTACAGGTTCTCTGGTACTACGTGTTCTATAGTGCTAAGTGTTCTATAGTGCTAAGTGTTCTCTAGGGCTACGCGTTCTCTAGGGCTACGCGTTCTCTAGGGCTACGCGTTCTCTAGTACTATGGGTTCTGTAGTATTACGTGTCCTATAGTGCTAAGTGTTCTCTAGGGCTACGCGTTCTCTGGTACTACGTGTTCTCTAGGGCTACGCGTTCTCTGGTACTACGTGTTCTCTAGGGCTACGCGTTCTTTAGGGCTACGCGCTCTTTAGGGCTATGCGTTCTCTAGGGCTACGCGTTCTATAGTGCTAGGTGTTCTTTAGTACTATGTATTCTATAGTGCTACGCGTTCTCTAGTATTACGTGTTCTATAGTGCTACGGGTTCTCTAGTACTTTGTGTTCTCTAGTGCTACGCGTTCTCTAGTATTACGTGTTCTATAGTGCTACGGGTTCTCTAGTACTTTGTGTTCTCTAGTGCTACGCGTTCTCTAGTATTATGTGTTCTCTAGTATTGCATGTTCTCTAGTATTGCATGTTCTCTAGTATTGCATGTTCTCTAGTATTGCGTGTTCTATAGTACTATGGCTTTAGTACTCACCCTTCCTCCATAAGGTAATGCATAATAAGGATCAGCAGGTTTTTCCTCCTGGCCTCCGTCCTGAGTTCATCCTGTGAAACAGCAATGGTAAAAGTTATTAGTAATATTACATACATTGGCTCCTTCACACTGCGCCGTTCCCCTGAGGTGTCATATGCAGGTTAACGCACAGGACGTCTCGCACTGCGTTAAAGGCTGAGTGCAAAGCATTTTAAAACGTAACCCCGGCAGTGGGGCTTCCCCTAGCACTGCAAGGGTTAAGTGCTCATTTTAGTCTCATGTCTAAAATAAAGAAGATACACTCACCCGATCCTCAGTCCCATGGCGGTGACCATTCGCCTCTCTACCCCTTCGCTGTGGCTGTGCAATGTCCCTCAGCATACTCACATCCAATGCAAGTCAATAGACATCATGACATCACGGGTCCATAGACTGCCGGAGCCCGGGGGAGCAGAGGCTGCGGGGACCGGTCTAGCACCCAAGCGGGACCAATAATCACATGAGTATATCTGCTTTATTCTTGACCCTAGACCAGGGGTAGCCAAACTCCGGCCCTCCAGCTGTGGTGAAACTACAAATCCCATGATGCATCTCTCTCCGGGAGTCATGTCTGTGGCTGTGAGAATCTTGCAATTCCTCATGGGATTTGTAGTTCCACCGCAGCTGGAGGGCCGGAGTTTGCCTACCCCTGCCCTAGACCAAAACAAGCACTTAACCCTTGCAGCCCCATTTTTAATATGCCTTTAGTTCTTCTTTAGGTAAAACTTAGGGGTTTGACTTATAAAGTCCCCCCCTCCCAGCTATACACAGGGCAAATGGCATTCCTGCCACTAGACTGAGCATAGGAGTATAGGAATGTTTATGCTCCTCGGCTCAATCTGGTACAAAGAATCCTGTGTGGATGGCATTCACCCAGCGTATGGCTGGGCAGAAGCTCCATAAATCATCCCTATACAGTCTTCATCCCCAGCCTGTGACTGGACTGTGAAAGGAGAAGCAGCACAGTGATGAGTTCATCTCTCTGTCACTCTGCTCTTTTCAACTACCTGCACACTCCTCGTCAGCACTTGAGCACAACTGATTGGCTCCTTGTGCTGCTTTTCCATCTCCCAGTTGGAAGCTCTGCTGTACAAGGGCCGCATGCAGTGACCACTATTTAAAAACACACATTTAATTACTTATTAATAAATCCAAAGCCGCATTTATTGTTCTCTATATATCCGCCCGATGTTCAGATTCCCGAGTCTGACTTTGTTGTGTTATTTATCCTGAAAATCTCCGGAAATGTAGAAAAGCCGATTTTAGCTACAGTGTAATCACAGCGCCTAATGGGCATGGAAGGCATATAGGCTGTAATTATGACGATGCAAATAGATGTTCTAATCTCTGAATGTTAACTAACATGGAAATGTTTAAAAACTAATGACTGAAAACACTTTCATTACACCCAACTGCTCCACTCCATCTACAAATAATTAGTACGCGCCGGAACAAAAAAAAATAAAAATAGGCAGGGAAGGCATCCATTTTAAAAAGCAATTAAAACTGTTAAGTGCTTCCATAAATGAACAGCGCTTATTAAGTGGATTAGCTTAATGAAATGTTTCCAAACCTGAGGAAGGGGCTTGTGAAGTGCCGACGTCTATTTAAAGGGGAACTATCAGTGGGTGCTAAATTATATTCCTGGAATAAAATGTATTTGTGTGATTTATTTATCTTACACAGGTCGCAGTGCTCCCCCGAACAATGCCTTCCTCTGGTTTTTCCTCCAGGAGGATGGAGCCATCTTTGTTGAGACATCATCCAGGGTCACCATCTACTTCCTGGACTGTAGGGATGCACCGATATAACAGCCGCCGATACATATCGGATGAAAATGGCACTTTTGGCATAATTCCTTTCAGAATTGGGGTGATCTGAGGTGTGAAGGAGCAGGAATTGGGGCTGATCTGAGGTGTGAAGGTTCAGGAATTGGGGATGATCTGAGGTGTGAAGGTGCAGGAATTGGGGCTGATCTGAGGTATGAAGGTGCAGGAATTGGGGTGATCTGAGGTGTGAAGGAGCAGGAATTGGGGCTGATCTGAGGTGTGAAGGTGCAGGAATTGGGGTGATCTGAGGTGTGAAGGTGCAGGAATTGGGGCTGATCTGAGGTGTAAAGGTTCAGGAGTTGGGGCTGATCTCTGGTATGAAGGTGCAAGAATTGGGGTGATCTGAGGTGTGAAGGTGCAGGAATTGGGGTGATCTGAGGTGTGAAGGTGAAGGAATTGGGGCTGATCTGAGGTATGAAGGTGCAGGAATTGGGGTGATCTGAGGTGTGAAGGTTGGTGACCCTTGATCTACATAAATGACAACTACAGTCTCACTTTTTGCCAGGCCTGCTTTCATTCTGAGCTGGGTAACAAATGACGGGGATTAGCAGAGTCTCAGACATGTAAATACACAATAGGAGATGTATTAGTGTAGCCTGGTGACATTGTACTATGAATACAAATACACGGACCCCGCACACAGTTATTAGAAGTCGGAGACATCAGCATGCTCGGAGTTCTGCTGCCCTCTAGTGGTCCTGTCAATGCACAGCTTAAAGTTTACCCACTGTTGTATTGTATAAGTGGTGGGTCGTGACCCCGTGTTCAGTGGGTCACCTTATGCCTTCCACTTTTCTAGGTGAGAGGATCCTCAGCCTCCCCCTGGTGCAGCAATGTCAGTTTTTGCGCCAAGCAGCCATTCAAAATATGCTGCCCGATGCTGAGTGACAGCTTGAGGTGGGGTGGGGCAATGGCCGCGAGGGAGCTCCATCCATACGTGCATTGCTTACAGCTCCCTCACATGTTCTATACAGGTTCCTGGACCAGAGCAAGGGAGCTGTACCAGCAATGCACATATGGATGGAGCTCCATCACAGCACAGCAGCCCACACTGGACCCCAGGCTGAGGATCCACTCCAGTGAAAGATAGGGAGACTGGGTGCATCTTAAAAACATTTAATTTTTTTGGAGCGTGTGTGTGAGGTTGTGTGTCTGTCAGTGTTTTTAAGGGCCCATTCACACTAGCACAATGCATTAATCACACAGTCCCATGCAACTGACACACTGTACCACTCAAAATCACACCTACTGCAAATTCTGGTGTGGGAGGTGTGTTGTATTGCCAATCATTTAAATGGCACCCCAAACACACCTCCCATCTACAGTTCGATCGCCGGAACGTGCGCACTGCATTCCAGTGCAGTGCGACTTGGGTCATGACTTTATGACCAGAGGCAAATGTGGGTCCTGAGGTTACACAGGTTGAGAGTCCCTGGTATAACCCATGGGTAAGCGGCTCTGGCATTCCAGCTGTGCTGAAACTATATATCCCATGATACATCTGCGTCATCTGGAGACATTTTTGTGGATGGCAGAGTCTTGCAATGCCTCATGGGACTTATAGTTCTTCAACAGATGACGAGCCAAGGTTGCCTAACCCCCCCCCGTATAACATTTTATTATGGCAAACATTTACCGAGTACCCTAAAGCATGTGCCAGTGTATCTTAAATCGCCCAAAAGTCTTTACATTCAATGCCAACACCATATTATCAAGTTTGCCTTTTGTAATTACTAAACCTTTGGGGCCTTCATGCTATATAGTTGTTGGCAGATCTAAGCTGATTGTACGATGAGATTGTACTGTGCCGCTACTTGCTCTTTATCTTTACATCCCAGCACATCAAACCCCATCTGTCACACAGCCCATAGAGCTCAGTACAGACACGGCCAGAACTGCGCATGCGCTCTTACCCCGGAAAAGCAAGGGGCGCATGGTCAGTTTCCATAGCAACCGGCAGACACAGTAACCATGGTAACTATAAAGCCATTCATGTCCCGCTCCCCAGCCTCAGCAACAACACGGGAGGCGAGAGATGGTCTCCACGTCGCGTCTTACCGCCTCTCTGCTCTGGGAAGCGCTCTTAATGGCCTGGTATGATAACTCCATCTTCGGGTTTTCTCTCTGGAATGCCACCGGAGAATCCCGTCAACCAGGCCGGGCACACGGGTCAGGAAGAGCGGCGGCAGACAAAACCAATGGCTGCATAGCGTTGCGTGACGTCACCCGCCAGCGGCCCAATCAGCAGGCAGAGGCCGGAGCTAAGGCATCAACTAACTAGTTAATTGAAAGGAAGAACCATGTGACCAGTGTACATTACATTGAGTAAACCGCCACCTGGTGGCTATTTTACAGACTGCAGCTTCTACTATTTCACCATAATCACTGTTGTCAGTCCATGGAGGCATGGAGCTTTGCAGTAACCCATAGCATCCCATTAGAATGACTTCTACTGAAGTTAACCCAGATTGCCCCCTACTATTTGCTTGAAGAACAACCAATTATGCACCAGCAGATTTCAGTGTGAGTCGATAGGTGATCCAGGTACCCAATCCCAATTAACAAATGACAGATTAGTTGATTGTTACAAAAATTCAGAGTGTTCATTATCTTCAATTGACCGGTCACCGTAGTCTAGATCTCAATGCATTTCGCTGCTCGCATATTTAGGATTAGAGGTGAACTGGCTGTCACACACTCAACACTGGTGGTCACTCTGATGGTGGTGTATTATTATTATTATTACGCACTCTACTCTTTTAGTAAATTAACTCCGGCGTTTTGGCTGGCTTGTTACTAGCATGTCCCAAAGCATTAAAAAATAGGGGGGTGCAAAAGTATTAAAAATTAAAAGGTAAAAAACATTTATTAAACTACTAAAATTATATTAATATTTTTATTCTACTACAACAAATAATAATAATATCATTTGTTTCAATAAATGTATTATTATAATTATTATTTTAAGACTATGACAAATAAATCATTATTATTATTCTCTGTTCTTGATAACAAAAAAAGCAAACGTTAACATTTTTATTTGAAACATTAAGAAATACAAATAATTATACCATATTGAACACACAAAAAATCCCACCCCCTGACTTGTGATAATGGTGTTACATAAATATTATGGAGAGATCAGGGAGGTTGAAGTGCAGCTGAGTTCTTATCCCTCCAGTAAAAGAAGAGATATCACATATGTAGACAGATATAAATCAGATTACACGACCCCTCACTTCCACTCACCCCGCGCTCCGCACAGCTTTAAGTACTTTACACTTGGAAGTTAAAGCCGTTCTTACTGGGAGCATAGTAAATAACTTGCCTGCAAAGTCACAGGGAGCTTTGTAAATACCGGCATATGGCAGATCTGAGTTTATTAAAGATTATATTATATTTTTTTACTATGAGGACAAAGAATAGACATTAAAGAGAGGAGGAAGAGCTCACAATTAATCTTTAAATGTTTTAAGCAAAACTAAGACCCTTTCTGTTGATCTGCGCTTAGGGGCTGCGGATATGTAGTCACACAACGCTGTGCGCGCCTCTTACCACGGCAGATTGGAAGCGGCTAAAACAAACACGAGGTCGTCTGATCGAGACAAGCCGTCCATTTGGTTCATCCAGAAAATTCTCTTTTTTTGTTCACTTTGGCTATAGGTGAAAGTGGGATCATGTGCCCAGATAAATAAATAAATATATTATTATTTTATATTATCGTTGTTATTATACTACAGGATTTAGATATATATATA